ATATTCCTTCAGGTAAAGGGATAGTCTTAATGCAGTCAATGAGTGTGAGATCTATCTCACATTTTGATTGATTTTCTGTTTCTGCTGGCCTTTCTACATGAATGAGGGAGCTAAAAACAAGTAAAAAATATGAACATTACCCATTGAAACCCCTGACTCAATAATTATGAGGATTTGGCTTCATCTTCATCCTTCAAGTCTGCCCTGCTCATGGTTGCCATTTAGTATGGGATTATAATCAATACCTATGTATTGATCCTGAGAAATTAGTTATGAATAAACATTACTAGGACTTTCATTTAAATTACATTGTTAGAAAAAAATCACTTTTATGTCAAAGGAAATTTTCTTAGGTTTGGTTTTAAAAAAACAACAATACAAAAATAACCCCTCAAAACATATCCTGGATCTTCATGACAAGATTTCGCAGTTGGAATGAGATCTATGATAAAAGGGACTCAAAGAGTAGCCCACATTTAAGGCAATTTTTCTCCACCAAAAATACACCACCTCAAGAAAACCACCACCACCAGAAAAAAAAATCCAAACCAAACTCAAAACCCAACAAAAACTGGACCACATTTTCAAAATCATTGCAGTTCAAGATGTGTAACTTCAAGTAAGTAGGTTTTGTAATAATAATATTAATATTAATAATATATTCTAGTATAAATAGTAATAAAGATAATAATAATTGGTATATCACTACAATAAAACTGATAGTATTAAACATGGTTCTGACCTCTTTGAAGGCAAGGTCCCTTCTGAGTAATGATTATATTTTCAGTAAGTGGGATCCTGAACAAACTGAAAATAAGACCACTGTTTTAATCAGCCTCAGTGAGTCAAGACTAATCTTTTCTGTCTTCAAACAAATGAAACATCCAGTGGTGTGTACAAGTGCTCAGCACAGGCTGGCTCTGCATGCCTCTATCAGAGCTAATCACCCTGTGAGATACTAGAAGTGGAAGAAGCTTTGGGGAGCCACATGTGAAGAATGGTTGGTTGATAAGACTACCTTTCAGGAGCAGTAAAAGCAAAGAAAGGATTTCCTGTTTGACAACAGAAGAGATAATGAAACTCTGAATAAACTGATAATATGTCAGCAAAAATTCAAGAAAATACTTCTCCTTTTCTGTGTTTTTAACAGTATTTTTTGGTTGTCTCTACAACAGACCCAAGAGGCATCTCATACAAATGTCCCAATAACTCACATTTTCGTTTCTCTTAGGTTTGCTCAATCTTAAGAGTTGGTCACCAGCTTTCCAGTGCAAACTGTGAAGACTGAAATATTCTCTACTTACAATGAAATACTTCAGACAGTATTTTCTTATAGGATACCTAAGTATTTTATAGGAAAAATAAATGAAAGTGGCTCCTTTTTTATGCATTTGTACTTACCATGTCAGTTAGTGGCCACAGCAATGCAGTCAGTCCAAATGATATCAAAATAATGAGAGATGATATGAAAGGAACATAAACTAATACCTCTGAAATACTGGGCTGAATAGCTGCCTTTCAATGGAGCCTGACATCATAACAAATATGTCTATTAGCTTAAAATTGTTATTTCTACAGTTTTGTTTTCATCATGTCAGCTACAATGATAGCTTCTAGGCAAGGATAAAACAAGAGTATATTAAATGTGTTTATGCTTAAATGAGCTGCAATCAGACAGAAAATACACTTTACATAAAGTAAATGTATTGCTGCTCACATGCATCGATGAGCTGTGACCTAGCATTCAGGAAAAAGATGTTTTTCAAGTTTTTCAGCTTGTTGTACTGAAACTTGCCCAACAAATACTTATTTATTCCAAGATACATTGACCCAGCAAAGCATTCATTCCCGAACATATTTCTAAGCATATGAGCACCCTTAGTGAAGCTGACATATCTACTTATTGGGTTGTTGGCTTAAATATACACTTCCACACCAGCACACTGTTGGATCAGAGCCTATGAGCTGCAAAGAATTCTCACTAGCTACAATATTAATTGAGACACACAGGAATTGTAACCTCTCAGCACCTCTCCATATGTTATGAGCTCATTTAGGGCTTCTGATCTGTTGCCAAACATTTACTTAGCTGTTAGCACACTGTAAGTTAATGTGTAACAACTGCAACAAACCCTGAAAATAATGTATTTCAAGAAGACAGCTGTAAAGCTCTGAGATCTATTTAAAATATCTACAAAAATTCTATATAAAAAGTGTAGTCACTGTTCTGTAAATATGACACTGTAAGTCATTTAAGTGCAATCTAGAATTTAATAAACCTTGAATTTTAATTTGGGTTCTTCTCAGGTATTCTTATACAAACTGAACAGGAAAATATAGATCTGGGGTATAAAGGTTACCTTATCTTACCATGACCTGAGATTAGTACTGACACACACTGAGAAAATGATACAGTATTTTCCTTATCTATAAGACTGTGAACCCAATGTATTGCTGTTGAGATTCAAATAAAAGATTGGGCTGGTTTAGGATGGAGTAGAGTTCATTTTCTCTACACTATCTGGCATGGGGCTGTGTTTTGGATTTGTGCTGAACACAGGGCTGATAATTCAGGGATATTTTTGTTACTTCTGAGCAGGGCTTGCACAGATCCGATCCCCTTTGTCTCTCACCCCACCCCATCAGCGAGGAGGCTGGGGGTGCTCAAGGAGTTGGGAGGAGACACAGCCAGGACAGCTTTCCCCCAGTGACCAAAGGGATATTCCAGACCTTATGGCATCATGCTCAGCATGTACAGCTAAGAGAGGAAGAAGGAGGACGGGGGGACATTTGGAGTAATGGTATTTGTATTCCCAAGTAACCATTACATGTGATGGAACTCAGCTCTCCTGGGAATGACTGAACACCTGCCTGTCCACGGGAAGTAGTGAAGGAATTCCTTGTTTTGCTTTGCTTGCATGCCCAGCTTTTTTTTTACCTATTAAACTGCCTTTATCTCAGCCTATGAATTCTCTCACTTTTACTCTTTTGATCCTCTCCCCCATGCCACCGTGGGAGTGTGAGGGAGCCGTGGTGTGGGGCTTAGTGGCCATCTGGGATTATACCATGATAAAGGTCCAAGTAAATACACATTAATCTTTTGAAAAACAAAACAAGGAATAGCAAATTTGTTGGTGCCTTCCAAAGGTGACGGTAGTCAATTTCTGTTTGAATTCTGAAATGGTTTTCATATGCCTAGCACTGGATTGTAAGTATTTAGAACCACAAAACCCTGCTGTGGGTATAGAGAAACATGAGGTACCATACAAGGGTAGATCATGGTCTATTTATTTTTCTACACTCCAGTGATGGACAGCAGATGTAGGCTGCTGACCTTCAAGTGAATGCACTTACACCTTAATACAGATTCTCAAGCCATTTATTGTTTTATTTCTCTAAGTATTCAGCATTTAATTTTGGGGTTTCAGGCTGAAATTAGTGCAGTTCTGAAGACATAAAAGATCAGTCTTGACTCACTGAGGCAGTTGAATGATGGCCTTAAATCAGTTAGCTCAAGAAGGCTGCCGCTGTCTCCATGGCAGCACGGCCCTAGGAACAGTTGTAAAGTCATCAGGGGACGTGAGCAAACACTCAGGAGCACGGTTATTTCACTGTTACGCTGCTATGGTTACCTGAACCAGCACACTGAAACCTGCTATGGGTAAACTCCTGCAGCGATAAGAGTCTTGTGAGGAAGCTCCTTCCGTAAATCCGTCCTTCACTGGGATTTCCAGTTGAAATGCCATCTGTGAGTTATCCCAGCTACAGCCCACAGGACATTTTCTGTCTGCCAGAACAGCCTGTGGAGCTTTGTAGCCTGTTCTCAGCTTCTCCCCATCTTCAGGCCACAGCGCCCTTCCCACACCTCATCAAATCTGTACAACCACCATACAACAGATGGAAAACCAAAGGGCCTCTCAGGAGAGACAGCAGGAGCAAGACACTGCTGACACAAAACCAGTTCATTCAGATGGTTTTCTCCATCCTGATCCTTCCCAAGAGTGAAGACAATTAGGGAAAGGCTGCATGAGGTGCCTGGACAGTGGTGGCACACATTTGTGGGCACTTTCACTAAAGCAGGCTCACTCAGCTCTGACAGTCAGGACACTGCACAGCTGCCACATGCTGCTGTCCTGGGAAGGGCAAAGGAAGCTTTCTACTATGCTTTGTGAAAATTAAAATCTGTGATTTACTACCTATCAACATCACGATATCTACTTGAACCATGACATTCATGCTGGGATTTTTCCATCCTGCATGTATCATGCCAGAAAGCCATTAAGAAAATTTATTCAACTACAAAGGTACAAATAACTTTGGCTCCAAGTATATCCTGTAATGCCAGTGCTAATAATCTACTACTCACTTCAGTGGCTCATTAAAAACAAAAAGAAAAAAGTATAAAAAAGCCAGCCAACCAACCAACCCCCCCCAAAAAAAAAGCCACCACAAAAACAAACAAACAAAATGACAATGACAAAAAACAGCAACAAAACCCCCACAAACAAACAAATAAACAAAACCTCCATCAAACCCCAAAAAAAAAGAAAAAAGAAAAAGAGGGGGGATAAAAAGTAGCTATCATTACCTAATGGAAGAACTTCTCAAAATGAATGACATTTTTCAGACCTGATACATTAGCATCTCCATCTCTGCATGGAGGTTAACATTATCTTTGTGTTTTTAACAGATTCAAATGCTACAATGAGAAATAAGTTGAAGAGAGACAGAGCAACATATTTCGTTAAATAGCACATTTCAAAAGGAAAGTTCATCAGGGTCTCTAGTAACAGACATTTATTACTATTTTGTAGAAATTTGCAAGATGAAAATATTTACTAGCCTTGAAAGCAAATAAAAACACTGCCAATTTCAACTGAGGGTTTCTAAGGCAGTGATGCAACGCATCTCATGAACTGCACTTCCTGACAACAGCTAAGTTATGCGCATAACCTGATGTAACCTCTCTTCCATAAAACATGTATTTTGTCTGAGGGTTGATGGTTTGGGCTCCTGTTTTGTTTCCTGGATTCAACTATTTTTTGAGGGAGTATGGTATCCATTTCAAACCTTCAATGAGTCTGGAGTCTCAAGATCTTCTTCGAGGGTTTAACACAATAATTCTTGTGGTGAACACTGAGATCAACAAAATTCACTTTTGAGCTTTGTGCCTTTTATTCATGTTAGACGTGATTATTACTTAGTGTATATATATTGCAGAAGCAAGACCAATGCTTTGCTGCTTCAGCTTCTACAGGATATTCTTTTGTCATATCCTTTACCTACAGTCAGGCTTTGCACATATTTCCACTACGTCATCCCTGCTAATTTAGTCTTTTGTCTTTCCATTGATAGAGAACTTTTCTACCAAAAAAACCCAACCAAACAAGAACAACAACAAAAACAAACAAACAAAAAAAAACAACAAAAAAAAACCCCCAACCAACCAGGACCTTATTTGGTATAGCTATAAGTGCTGTACAGCCAGTAACCACCTTACTGGATTAGCAGGGGGTGACAGATTACCGTGCTCTTGTAGTAGGCTTTTTTCCTCAAAAATTTCCCACCTTTCCTATCAGTGCAGCTTCAACAGGGGGAGAAATGGTAAGATCATTAGTGTATGAGATCCACAGCAAGCACTGATCACAGCAGTGACCCAGCAAGTGCAGCAGTTAAAGCACTGAGAACTTCTCCAAGGCAATCTCTTCAGTTTGGCAGACTTTGTTACCACAGCACATTACACAACCATCCAGCATATGTAATTAAAAAAGAAAAGTGCTGGCATAGAAAGATCTCGCAAGTCCACAATGTAAAGTTTATCCCTTGAAAAATCTGTTATTAGTTAGAAGTATGCAACATCTAGAACAGCTAGCAAAAAGGCTAATTATCATGTAGGTATATTATCCTAAGTAAGAGTAAGCACTCCAAAACTTTTCAAATAAACAAAACTACATATAATGCAACCTGAAAACATTAGCTTTTCCCACACAAACAATATGGTAATTCAATGAGAAATCCACAATTTCCTTAAGTATAAGCTTGACTTTCTTGCCTCCATTCTTTTTCTTCTGTTCATATATTTTATTTGAATGAAAGTTTGCAATTCATTCTTTTCAGACTGTCTGATGGTCAGAAAAGCAGAGAAATCATAGATACCTTTTCTTTTGTACCTCTTGCCATCTGTACTGGCCACAGCAAAGCTCACCTTCCTGATCACAACAGATACAGAAATAATTCAGATAGGAAACATTGAAAATGCAGTATCAAAGCCCAGGGCAAGACAGCTCTGCAGTCTTTTTGCCAGGAGGCAAAGGTCAGAGGAGTGTACTAAAGAGGTCCAAACCCTCATAAGAAAACCCTTACATAAAGCACACATTTCACCTGGGTGCAAGATGGTGACCAGGCTTGCAGAGGGTTAACATTAATGGTGACGTTAATTTGGAATTAATTTGGACATTAATTTGGAATACTAAAACATTACATCACACTGGACTCCCTGGTGGGGACTTGTGCTCACTCTTGGTACAGATCTGCTTCGTGAGACACCATATCCCTAATGGTAGCACGCAAGCAACATAGAAAAAGGATCTACTGAAGCTGCAACCCAAATTTAGTACCTGAAGTCAAAAGTATAAATATGCAAAAACCTGGAGTTTAATTTGAAATTCGCCTCCAAGTAATCACTCAACCAATCTTTACAGAAATTTGCCAAGCCTGTCCTAACACCTCCTGCATTAAAATTTTACTGTGGCTAGTGGCTGCCCAAATCCAAAACAGAAGATTAGTTATGTACAAAATTATCTCCAGGAAGTTAACTCTTTCTGTCTGAAAAGTTTACAGAAACTTGTACAGCTGAATGGATAGATTTAGGCAAGACTAATGATTTTCCGACTGCACGTGAAGTTCTAAAACCTGGAATTTAGGACAAAAATATGTTTGTATTTCTTTCCTGAAATTTCCCTGGTAAATATAAACAGTAACTTCAATGTTAAATACTGCAGGAAGCACCTTTCTTTCCTAAATGTGTGTTTTAAAAGCAGCAGCAGAAAGGTACAAATATGTTTGCCTTAATTACATGATAACTTGTAAGAGGGTTACATATTTGAAAGTTAACCAGCAAATAAAAATTTATTATAGAACCTTGTGCTTTGCAGGAATTGTGGGTTTTTTCTTGAACATCATTTATTCAAGACAATATAAATGACTCTTTAAATTAAAAAAGCTCTGAAATTATGACCAGTGCCAGAGAAGAATCTGACCCCAAATGGGTTGCCTGAAATGGAACACGCGGTTGCACTGGTGGGGATCACAGGCACTGCTGCTCCAGAATTGACCTCTTGGTTTTCCTATTAGGAAGAAATATGTGTATGTATTTCCTAGATGAATCTTAGAATTGAATTTACTTTGAAGGGATGGAGGGAAACAGAAAAATAAGTGCACCTTGGAGCCCACGTAAATGTATTTTCCTTAAGTAAAAAAGAAAATTCATCAATACAGTTCCATGGGCAACTGATGAAATTGCCTTTTGTCTAGGAGGGATTTCATAATTTCTGATTATTCAGGAGCAGGGCTGGTATTTCATTGTATTTAAAAAAATCAACCATACAGATTGTAGGGTCACAGAAGTAAAACAGACTAAGTCTACCAGAGCATGTTTTACCTTTCTATTATTATTCTAATAATTGTAATTATGACTTGTACTGCAGTAAGAACATGGAAATGATGGCAGGAACACAGAATACTTTCTTTCCAGATTAAAATGAAAGAAAATACACTTTCTAGGTTGTGCATCTCTGCAACACTCATAGAAAACAACACCAAAAAAAAATGTATACAAGGTTTAGTCTGGTCTGAGCCATCCCCATTTCCTTTCCTTGAGCACATCTGTCTCCAGTGTCAGGTTTCTAGTGCACATTCCTTCTGTTTGCTGACTACCATTTTCTTCTGGAGCACTGTCTCCCCCCAGGCAGGAAAGGCAGCTGAGCACTAATAAGCAGGGAAGTGTTTTGGTATTTTTCCTCCGGAAAAAACATAAAATGGCAAACAGGGAGAAAAGACTTCTGTTTCTGGGTAGTTTTCATTTCCAGATAAAAATCAGGACAGAGTGCATCATTTTCTCCTGAAATCATATTTTTTGAGCTAATGAGTTTTGCCTAGAAAAAGTAGTCTCCATGATTATAGTCAATGAAGAAGGCAAACATTGTATTTGGCATCTGGTGCTGTACCCTGGGCTGAAGAAAAAACATCCTTTATATTCATGGCAGGCACATAGACCTTATAAAGCCATGAGATAATAATCCCAGTGAAATTTGTGGTGAAAAAAAAACATCACAGACACCTAAACATTTCAAAATTTATCCCTTTGAGCATTTCTTGGCCAGCTTCTTCCTTTCAAGCGGTTACTCACATGATCTTTTTGCATTTTTTAAATTTTGTTTGTTGCACAGCCCACTTACCATCTCCCAATGTAATAGAAAGTAGCAGGGAAAAGCTGAGAACTTTCCCTAGTGACATTTGTAATTTGACTTGAAGATGTGTTTCACAGAATTCCTTTGGCTTGTAAACATGTTTATCCCAGATCTTGTCTGATTAGTGAAATAATTCCTCTGGATCAGCAGGATGGATTAATTTGGGGAAGACAAAGTTAGAAAATCTGACTAGAAACTCTGGTATATATATCTTATCTGACAGTTTCAATACAAAATAAACAAGAATTTTCACTTATTATCAGTTACTATCACTGCTGAGCATTCAGCATAGTTTCTAATGAAACAGTAGAGAGCCACAATGATCTGTGTATTTTTACAGGCTTCCAAGAGGGGAAGAGCTGTTATCCAAGGGGTATTTGAGGTACTAGGATTGAAACCAGTATTTCTGTATGTAACAGTTAATTCCTGTACTTAGCAGTTTCACTTAACATTGCATACTGATAGCATTTGAAAGCTGTTTTCAAATATTAACAATAAACACTAGAGTTTATAATTATGGGCTGGCTTTCAAATCAAAGGTAGTATTCAGTTTCTGACTAGCAGAGCGATAGGGAATGCTAATTAATCTTTTACTTCATACTAGGAGGTGCCCAATTATCTTTCTCTCCTATTGTAACCATCCAACTCTGCTTATTCTATTTCTTAATACTATGCATTTTACTGCTTCCTCACATTATTTCAGCTTTTGTTCTTCCAGTGACTTGCTCTTTCATTTATCAAGATAATTTTTATTCTCCTATATGTGACAAAATGATTTGATATTCCTTCAGCCACTTTCCCCTTATTTCTTCCAATTTTATTATTAGAAATGACACCATGTTTTCAATTTTTTTTTTCCCCGAGTAAGACTGCAGCAGTCACTCTACTGAAAATGTCACCCTGAACAATTCATAACCAGTGAAGTGGTTACAGTACTTACAGAAATGTGTTAAGCAAAAGATAGTGTCGTGTGTTGCTTACAGTTAACAAGTTCCTATTCAACAGTTAAAAAAATATTTCTGCAATATGCTAACTATTTTTTTTCACTTTCTGGATGTAAATTGATAATCTGACTATTTGATCCTATCAAGGATGAAACAGGGAAGAGAATGTCGGAGAAGTAGCAATGATATAGGTAATAAATGCTGAAATTATCATTCCTTTATTATGTTCCTTTCAGATTATAAGAGAAGGAAACCTTTTGATTCAAGGAACCAATTCTTCTAGGTCGTAAAGCATTATCTACAGACTTCCAGCTTTCCTATGCACTTTACATTCCCTTTCCTCTTAAGGCAGCACAAAACCCACCAGCAAACACTGAAAAAGGCAGAACCATTACATCACTACCTTCTACCAAGTTGTTATTTGCCTAATTTCAAGCAGCACTGTGCCACGTGAAAGCATCTGAAGGAAAGCTGCTTGCAGAAGAACTACAAACTCTGGAGTGGGGCTGTATTACATTTTAGAAGTTCCTTCAGTGGGGAAGCATAGAATTATTACTGTATTTTACATGAAAATTCAAATAACTGTCATGCTCATGTTACAGTGGCTTGGATTTTATTAGTCAAATAAACATTTGTAAACTTTGGCACAGACAGTGGAATTAACAGTTTATAGTATACAAAACTGGGAAAAAAACCCAATAAATATTGCACTTAATTATTGCAACTTAATCAAATCCCTTAAATTTAATGTCACCTCAGAAGCTCTGTAAACTTCACCACATTCAGGTGCAGAGGAGGCCTAGATAGCCCGAGGGACTGGCAATGGTCTATGCATTCTTTCTGCCTTTTAGCTTTTTGCAAAGTCCCTATCTCTTTGAAGTCTACACTACTTTCCACCTTAAGGTTATGAGCCTGAACCTCACCTGCTGAATGAAAGCGATGGTCATTTGCAGGGCTGTATGAATGAGGTGGCCAGAGTGTTTTCATCCATGGTGTGCAAGAGAGCACATCCCTAAACGTGTCCTAGTGGAGCCAGAATGACATTTAGGACATTGAGGATGGAACCCTGGCTCTGTTACAAACTCATTGAGCCATCTGGCCACTGCACTCCTCTCTTACTCCACTACATTTGTACTTGAATTTATAATCCCCTTCAGAAAATTCTGTCACAGGACCCTGATTTCAGCTGAGCTAGTAGCAGTAATATTAAAAAAAGAGTTCACTTTAAAGGCCAGAAATCACAAAGAGAAAACTTAATGACCACCAAGCTGTAAAGAAGAACACTGGGACGTGACAGACCAATCTGATCAACCAGCAGAGGTTTTCCTTCACTACTGTTTTGTCTGAGACACCTTCCTCAGCAGTCTAGGTATCGTTTTAAAACAACATTTAGTAACTATGTCCCACATGTATTTGAGCTGCAATTTGTTTTTTAATTCATATGGGCATACTCTACCTAGACAAATTAAGTAACCTAGTAATGATGTGTAACTACGAGGAGGGCCTAGCATGCACTATTGAGTTAAACAGGCTTTTCAACAAAATGGGAAAGCCCACAGTAAGGGAAAACAGTACAAGGACAACTGAATTAAAACAAAACAAAACAAAAACAACAACAAAAAAACCCAACAAACCAACTATATATTCCACTCTTTTAGGAAATAGGCAAATAATTTTATTCAACTTTAATAATAGTTACCTAGTAATAATAGTTGTGGTTAACTTATATAGAAATTTATTCCTTCCTGCATGTTTTCAAACAGATTTTTTTTCCCAAAAAGGAACAAATATTAACTTTTTTTCCCAAATAACTAGCTGTTATTTCATCACAAGAAATCAGTAGGTTGGAAAAACGAAAAGGACCAGTCGAATTTCAACTGATGGCAGTAATTCACTGGATTTCAAAGCCATCACTGCTGCTCCTAAATTCCACAGGTTTTGCCTTTTTTCTCTTCAGGCTTGGCTATCTACACCAGTTGGCTTCAGCCTGTCTTGTTAAAGCGAGCTGTCCTCATAATCAAGTACAGATACAACGCAATGTCCAGGTGGTCCATGCAAATGGGATGTCCCATCCCAAACTGCTGCCTCAAACTCTCCCCGCTGGATCAGATACATCTGCTTTACCCTACGCGGTAAAAAAAGTTCACAAATTAATTCCTGAATATTCTGGTCCTTCAAAAATGGTTGACGGTACAAAAGACACCCATTAGACTTAACTACTGCCAGTTTCACTTTGAATAGGCACAACTTCGCAGCTAGTTTAGAGAAAAGAGAAAGCATTTGAGCCGGGACAAGGGCCGTGCTCGGGGGGCTTCCCTGCCCCCGCTTTCGGGGGGGAACAAAGGTCGGGGGGGCGCTTCCTGCCCCTGCTATTGGTGTCTGCATGTGGGACCAATATGGGCAATGCAGAGTTTAAACAGTTGCAAATGGGGGAGGGAACATCGGGGCTTGTTTTACATATGTTTTTTTTCCTGGCCGGCTTGAATTTAAAGTGGAGCGGCCGCATTGTTCGAGAGGCTCCTTGCCCCTACGCATTGACAGGAGCTGCTGTTTACACGGGCTTTTCATTCCTGCGCTGTTTGCTTATGGAAAATACGGGGGAGTGACAGCAAAAGAGAGAAGGGGAGAAGGGAAGGGAGGGAGGCCCGGCCCTCAGCGCAAGCCGGGAGCCTCGGCCCTGCCGGATCCTGCGCCCCGCTGCCGGCGGCGGCCGGCCCCGGCTCCCCGGCGGCTCCCTGGCATGTGAGCGGCCAG